TGCTCAGCATACAGACTGAATAGGTATGGAGAGAGAATACAACCCTGACACACTCCCTTCCCAATTCCAAACCGTGCAGTATTCCCCTGTTCTGTTCTCACAACAGCCTCCTGCTCCATACAGGACCACCTGCTCCTTTAGGTTCCTTATGAGCACAACCAAGTGCTCTGGGATTCCCATTCTTCTCAATGCCAGCCACATTTGTCATGATCCACACAGTCAAACGCCTTTGCACAGTCAATAAAGTACAAATAAGTGAGCTCTGCTGGCCTAGTGGCAAGAAGCTGCACTGCAATCCCAGAGGCAGGCAGTTCAAATCCACCAGATGCTTTGCTGAAGTAGGTGGGGCAATCTCTTCCTGTACCAGTCAGATCCGATTTGACAGCACACACGTAAAAATATAATAAAATTTTATTTTTTTTAAAAAAAGCACAAATAGACATTCTTCTGGTGTTTCTTACTTTCAGCCAGGAACCATCTGACATCAGCCATGATATCCCAGGTGCCACAAATGGTGACTTGACACATGGCTCTCAGCTAATGGGCTACATAGGAATCAGAATGCCTATATTTGTGGGGAAAAAAGCCAAAATCATTGGAGAAGGTCATTATCAGCAGTCAAAACTAGGACGGGGCAGACTATGGGTCAGATCATCAGTTACTCATATGCAAGTTCAATCAAAGCCAAAGAAAATGAAAATAAGTCATTGTTGTTTGTTATGTGCCCTCGAGTCACTTGCGACTCATAGTGACCCTATGTACAACAGCCGTAAACTCTGCTCTGTCCTGTGCCAATCGCACTGTCCCCGACACTCCCATCCCGATTATCCCAGTCACTGAATCAATCCACCTCATAGGGGGCCTTCCCCTCCCGCGCCGTCCCTCCACCCTCCCAAGCATGATGTTCTTTTCCAAGGACCGGTCTCTCCTTACAACATGTCCAAAGTATGTTAGACGGAGCCTCAGAATCCTTGCCACTAAGGAGTCACCCAGTGTAACCCTTTCCAGGATGAATCTGTTTGTTTTCCTAGCAGTCCACGGTACTCTCAATACTCTTTTCCAGTACCACAGCTCAAAGGCATCAATTCTCCTTCTATCCTCCTTGGTCACTGTCCAAATCTCTGATGCATAACAAGTGATTGCGAAGACCATGGCCTGTATCAAACGCACCTTAGTCTGCAGAGAGACACCATTGCTCTTCAGTACTTTGGAGCAGTCCCTAACAGCAGACTTTCCCATGGCAATACACCTTTTAATTTCCTGGCTGCTGGTGCCAAGAGTGTTGACTGTGGAGCCAAGCAAACTGAAGCTTCAGTGTACGATCTCAATCTCTTCACCATCCATCCTGATGCTGCCAATTGGACCAGTGGTGAGAATCTTTGTCTTCTTGACATTGAGCCTCAATCCATATTGTAGGCTGCAGTCCTTGACCCTCTGCAGCAAGTGCTTCAGGTTCTCAAGTTTCAACAAGTAGGGTTGTGTCATCTGCATAACGTTGATAGATCTTCCACCAATCTTGAGCCCACATTTTTCTTCATAGAGCCCAGCCTCCCGGATAATCTGTTCGGCATACAGGTTGAAAAGGTATGGAGATAGGACCCATCCCTGGCATACACCCTTCCCAATTTTGAACCATGCAGCGTTCCCTTGGTCTGTTCTGATGACTGCCTCCTGGTCCAAAATAAGTCTATAGGAACCAAGATATGATCTTGAATCAATTCCATCTGAATTTTAAAATCTTAAGGATATGTTTGAGGCACTGAACACCAATGATCAAAGGCCAGGTGAGTTGTAGAACGGTATCAAAGATATCATCCACGAAGCAAGCAAAAGATCATTACAAAAACAGAGGAGAAAGAAAAAAACAAAATGGATGTCAGAATAGACTCTACATAGTGCACTGGAGTATCAAGAAGCCAAAACAAAAGGAAAACATGTTGAAGTGAAAGAGCTGAACAGAAAATTTCAAAGGGCAGCTCAAGAGGACAAAGTAAAGAATTAGAATGTGCAGAGAGCTGGAGTTAGAGAATAAAAAGGGGAGAACTCACTCTGCATTTCTCAAGCTGAAAGAAATGAAAAACAAATTTAAGCCTAGTGTTGCAATACTGAAAGATGCTATTGTGCTTATGCAACACTTATACTTGGACCAGAAGGCAATCATCAGAACAAGGCAAGGGAGGTGAGCTTTTGTGACCTAGTGGCAAGAAACTGTACTGCAATCCCAAGGGCACACGGTTCAAATCTACCAGGTGCTCTGCTGGAGAAGGAGGGGCAATCTTGCCCTGTGCCAGTTGGATCTGATTTGATGGTACACAACAAGGAGAAAAAAAATAGAACACTTCATGGTTTTGAGTATACACCAGGGATGTGTCCTATCTCCATACCTTTTCAATCTATATGCAGAACAGATCATCTAGGAGTCTGGGCTCCATGAGGAGGAATGTGGCATCAGGATGGGAGGAAGATTCATCAACCACCTGCATTATGCAGATTACACAACCTTGCTTGCTGAAACTGAAGAGGACCTGAAGCACATGCTGCAGAAAGTCAAGGACAGCAGCCTTAAATATGGATTGAAGCTCAATATCAAGAAAACAAAGATTCTCCCCCACTAGTCCAACAGGAAGCATCAAAATAGATGCTGAAGAGATGGCGACTGTTAACAGATTTAGTTTGCTTAGCTCTATAATCAACACTCTCGGTACCAGCAGCCAGGAAATCAAAAGACAAATTGCATTAGAAAAGTCTACTGTCAGGGCTATCTCCAGAGTACTGAAGAGCAAAGATGTCAGTCTGGAGACTAAAGTGTGCCTCATCCAGGTCATGGTCTTCAAAATTACTTGCTATGCATCAGAGAGGTGGACAATAACCAAGGATGAAAGAAGAAGACTTGATGCCTTTGAACTGTGGTGCTGGAGTACTGAATATACCACGGACTGCGAGGAGAACAGGTTTGTCTTGAAGAAGATGAAACTAGGCTGCTCTTTGGAGACAAGGATTCTGAAACTTTGTCTGACATACTCTGAACATGTTGCAAGGAGTGACCAGTCCTTGGAGAGGGACATTATGCTTAGAGGGTGAAGGGACAGTGCAAGAGAGGAAGACTCTGGATGAGATGGATTGACTCAGTGACTGGGGTAATGGAGGTAGATGTGTCAAAGACAGTAAGATTGACTCAGGAAAGAGGAGGGTTCAGAGCTGTTGTACATAATAGAGTTGCTATGAGTCACAGGCGACTTAACAGCACATAACAACAACAAAAACAATGGGAAATATTTTGAATGACCCAGAAAGCATCAAAAGAAGATGGAATATACAGAATCACTGTACCAGAAAAAATTGATTGACACTGAAAAATTTTAGGAAGTACCATATGACTAGGAGCCAATGGTAATGAAGGAAGAAGTAGAAGCTGCATTGACGGTACTGGCCAAAAATAAGGACCCACGAATCAACGGGATACCAAGTGACTTGTTTCAATTAAAAGATGTAGCCTTGAATGCACTCACTAGTCTATGCCAGGAAATTTGGAGGATGGCTGTCTGGCCAATGGATTAGAAAAGGTTTATATGTGTTCCCATACCCAAGAAAGGTGATTCAACTGAATGCAGAAACTATCGAACAATGTTATTAATATCACATGCAAGCAAAATACTGCTGAAAATAATTAAAAAATGGCTAGAATAGCACATAGATAGGGAACTGCCAGAAACTGATGTTCATAAAAACATACTGATAATAGCCAAGATGTAGAAATAACACAAATGCCAGTCGACAGACCAATGGATAAACTAAATGTGATACAGCTAAACAACAGAAGATTATTCAGGCATAAAAAGCAATAAAGTAATGATATAAGCTACAGCATAAACCTTGAAAATATTAAGATAAATGAAAAAACTAATCACAAAGAATTTTATTATAAGGAAAATCAGATGTATATTGTATATATTGTAATATATAAGAAATAATTATGATTCTTTTATAGAAAATTACTAGAATAGGCAAGTCTATGGAAATCATTAAGTAACCAGTAAGTTGCCTGGGGTAAGTGGTGATAAGGTACGGGGGGCAGGGGGTTTAGCTAAGAGGTACAGGTTTTCTTTGAATAAAATGTTTTAAAAATGATTGTGGCAATAGTGGCACAACTCTAAAAATACTAAAAGTCACTGAACTGTTTAAAACAATGTGGAATGAGGATTGTATCTCACCAAAGCTGTCAAAAAAACCAGCATGCATACTAATAATTCTGCTAGTAAACACTCAGAGGCAGTGAGGAAGAGGGAAGAGAAACCATTAATCACCACACAGAATACCTAAATAATCATAGAGGACTGGTAGAAAAGTGTTTGCTAACGACATTGCTGGTAAGGTCTTAGAAAGAAATGAGATTATATTCAAGGAAATAGGAAATAATGTTTGGGAAAGTTGAGGAAAGAAAAGGTAACAGAAAGGTTGGTGCACCAGTGTACTGTAGTAATAGGGCAAGTAGAACCTGTAAACAATAAAATTGGTTATCTAGCTGAGGAGAGTCCAAGCAAAATGCTGAAGGTGAAGCCTTGTTTCTTCTTTCATGTAGTAAAATGTGGGAAGAGAGAAATTGAGAGAATTGTTAAATAAAAAAAGAACCAAGATATGATGACTTGGGAAATTTTCATTCTTCCCATATATGACGCTGTCAAGACAGGAAAAAAAAAAACCAACCAAAAACCCCCAAGGTGTAGGTTTAGAAGCTTTTGCTAATAACTCAAAAAAATCAAAACATCTAATCACAAAAAAGGGTCTTTGAAGAGCTTGTGTTTAGCTACTGCCATCTGAGCAGAAGTGAAAAAGTGAGATGACATCCAGGGAACATCTTTGAACTGAAAGGTTCATCTCACCCAAGCAGTTGTGTTCTGTTCCAACAGACTAAAAGGGAGAGAGATACATCTGGGAGGCTACAGGTCCAACTCCAAAACTTTAACTTCCACTTCTAGATTCCCTGGCTCCAGAGCCCTTACCTGTAAATAGTGATGTGGGGAGATAAAGGACGGTTTAAACTTGTGTTCTTATTCCAAAACTTCTCCATCTCTTCTTTGGCTGTGGTTCCCAGAGGAACAGTACTAAAATAAAACCAAATATTTCAAAACAATGAAAAATAAGCTTGGTTTAAAATTTTCAATAACAAAAAAGTTACCACAAAGATAAAGGTAAGCTCACAGGAACAATTAATTGTATAAGGAAAGCAGGTTCATACATCTCCTTAACTTTTTTAAAATACAATTTTATTTTTATTGTTATTGAAAATATACACAGTAGAACATAACACCAATTTAACAATTTTTACATGTATAATTCAGTGGCATTGACCATTCTCTTTTCTAAGTTGTCCTCCCCATTTAGCATAAACTCAGACTCTATTCCTGAAAGTTCTTATCTTTAGTTGTTACTGTAATTTGCTAACATATAGATAGTTCTTAAAAGAGGACATATTTTACTGGATAAGCTAAACTATGGTTTGCTTTTAAGGAGATTCTAGGGGATACTGTGGGTTTAAGGGTTAGGGATTTTCTCAGGGCAATAGCTATAGAAGTTCACTCATCCTTCATGGATCCAGAAAGTATGGATTCCATAAGGATCAGAAATTCTACTCTGCATTTTCCTACTTTTGATCAGAATTGTTCTGTAGAGTCTTTGGTCAAAATATTCAGTAATGGTAGACAGCTACCATTCATTTCTTTTGGTCTCATGACAAGAGGCAATTTCAACAATTTGTCATGTGACAATACTAAACATGATTGACATTCCCTCAAGATATTTATAATATATCTATTTAAATGTAGAAATAGGGGTATTCAATCTCAAAACATCTCATTACAGGTTATTAATTATAAAAAGGAAACATTTACAGTGGAGAAAAACCTAGCAAATATCTGACTCATATGATAAAAGTTAGAATCAATGATGAGACAAATGACATTCTGTGCCCCACAAAGTAACATACTAAGGATACAAAACCAACTACATAACTCCTGTAAAAATATCTACCATAATTCTAATTATCTGAAAAACTCAAATAGAGGAACACTATATAAAACTGCTGTCTTTCAAGGGAATTCTGGGGGACTAGTGGGTAATGAGTTGCCTTGCCAACCCAAAGATAAGCAGTTTGAATTCACAGGCTTCTCTGAGGGAGAAAGATAGGCAATCTCCTCTTAGGCAGTTTACAGCTACTGAAAACTTGTTGGAAGGTCAGCTATGAGTTGGCTAGTTCTGAATCAATGCACATAACAAAAACAATGTATTCTTTAAACATGTCACAAAAGACATAGAAAGGCTACAATACAGCTCCAGACTAAAAAAGCATGACAACTAAATATGTGAGCCTGACTGGAAAAGGAAACTCAATTTTTTTTTTTTTAGGAAACTCAATTTGGGACAAATGGAAAATCTGAGAATGTACTGTATATCACATTATATGAATATTAAGTTTCATGACTTTTATAATTATACTATTTGTTTAAATTAATTTTTTTAAATTATTATTATTACTTTGTGTGTGTGTACCATCAAATGGAATCTGACTGGAGGAGATTGCCCCTCCTTCTCCAACAGAGCATCCTTTGGATTCGAACCGCATACCTCTGGGATTGCAGTGCAGCTTTTTGACACTAGGTCACCAAAACTCCCTTGAAATTTATAATTATACTGTGCTAAGATAATGTTTTTAGAAGAAGTGGGGGGGGGGGGAAAGAATCATGTCTTACTCTCAAAAAGTTTTTTAAAAATACCAACAATACTTAAATATATATTAGGCTGAATGATACTGAATTGTTAATATTCTACCAGTCTTGACTTATAGAAATAACAATTTTATCTGATTCAACCTAAAAGTAGAGCAAAAAACAAATATCATAAAATGTTAACAATTGATGAAACCAGGTTAAAGATATTCAGAGTTTCATCACACAACTCTACTTTTCCTGAAAACGCGAAACACTTCTAAAAAGAACAAAAGGGGGGGGAAGGGATTACTGACAAAGAGGCAATTATAGAAGCTAACAGAGAGAGTAGGAACGTATACTGTTGCAACATGCCATCAAATCAGAACAGACTCATAACTAATCCTCTCTCTATAAGTTTTCAGAGGCTGTAAATCATACAGAGGATTCTAACTTCCTGCTTTTGTGTTGGCAGGCCAATTCCTTTGTTAGTAGGCCACCAGAGTTCCCTGTGGAATGCATATGTTATTAAGTGCTGTCAAGTCAGACAACTCATACTGATCCTATGAATGCAAGACCTGAACACTTGTATAACTTTTGTCATTTCTCCACGTTCATAGTTTCGAGAGGCAAACCATTTTGGAAGTGGATGCCACTCCTGCTTCCAAGCTTGTTTAATCAGTAAACTCCACCAAACACTGTGCACCATGGGTCTGCTGCAGATGACTTCCAAACTGTATGCCAGGGAACACATATAAGTAGGAATAAATTTAGATTGAGATTATTAACAGCTTCAGTTTCCTTAGTTCCACATCAACACTCTTGGTACTAGCAGTCAGGATATTAAAAGACAAATTGTATTGGGAAAGTCTGCTGTCAGAGACCACTCCAAAGTACTGAAGAGCAGCAATGTCAGTCTGGAGACTAAGGGGACAGATCCAGGCCAAGTTTTTGCAATTACTTGCTATGCGCCAGAAAGCTGGACAATGACAAAAGATGATAAAGGAGAACTGATGCCTTTGAGCTGTGGTGCTGGAGAAGAGTACTGAATATACCATGGATAGCTAAGAGAATAAACAGGTTCATCCTAGAGAGTGTGAAACCAAGCTGCTCCTTGGAGGCAAGGATTCTGAAGCTCTGTCTGACATATTTTGGGCAGGTTGCAAGGAGGGACCAGTCCTTGGAGAGGGACGTCATGCTTGGGAGGGTGAAGGGACAGCACGAGAGGAAGACCCTCGATGAGAAGGAGTGATTCAGTGACTGGGGTACTGAGGGTAGGTGTGTCAGAGACAGTAAGATCTGCACAGCCACAGGCTAGATCAGGGTATAGGGCTGTTGTACATAGGGTTGCTATGAGTCACAAGCAACTTGTAAAAGCCACTACAAATTATAATATACCAGAGGGTGGGGGAGAAACATTAAAGGAAGAAAGACAAAATAGTAAGGAAAAAAAAAAGAATTCTATCAAGGAAGAAATAAAAAAGTGTAAAACAGTGATGTTAAATTAAATACAACAGATAAGCAAGCAAGCAAACAATACAACAAACAAAGTGAGAAAAATCAACAAGACCAAAGAAATATTTTTCCTTCTTCTACCCTTAGATGAGAAAAAGTGGTCGCAATCAACAAATCTCTACAACTGTCTATTTTCCTATCTATCTCTGTCTGTCTGTCTAAAATCTAAGTAAACCATCTATTAAGTTAAATTATCTCTCTCTATCTATCTACCTACCTATCATCTAAAATCTAAGTAAACCACCTATTAAGTTAAATCTGAGGTGAGGGGAAGTTAAGTAATAATAATCTCCACAGATCTAGAAACTTACTTTCTGATACAGAGCTGAGGACTAAGATGGGCACGGAGGCAATGACGGCCAACATGTCTGCAAGACAAAAAAAATTAACGTTAGTTGTTAGGTGTTGTTGAGCCAACAGATTGGAACCTTGCCCTATCCTGTGTCATCATCACAATAGTCAATACATACATTACGCTCCTACACACACACACACACACACACACACACACACACACACACACACACAGTAAAAATTATTTTGTTGTTAAGTGCCATCGAGTTGCAAGGGACTCACAGCGACCCTATGAAGGAAGAGTCCTCAACACTTGTCTCTCTCATCCTCTCTCCAGGTTCATAGGGTTTCCGGAGGCAAGCTATTATGGAAGTGGATGCTGCTCCACTTTTTTTTTTTAAATTTAGGTTGTTTATTTTTCATTTCAATGAACATCTACAGAGACCTTGGGATTCCACCCATTCATTGTTGCACCCTTCTCCCCCACACAAACCCCTCCCCCCCCAATTTGCTCCTCTCCTTGAAAAGCAAAAGAAAAACTCCCTCATTGGTACACAATCCCCCCCCTCACCTCCCCAAACCCTACCCCTACCCCCAAATATAATCCACTCTGCAACCCTTATTGCATACTCCTACGATAAAAATAATGCCCTAAAATATAATACTTTTAGACTCCACTTTAAGGAGGGAAAAAACCCTCAATACTTATTTAGAGACCATGACATTATCTTCTTTTAACTCTAAGTAGACTTAACTACTGCTATTGGGTTTTGGTGTTTTTTTCCCTTGTTGTGTGGCACAGGAGATTGCCCCTCCTTGTCCAGTAGAGCATCTGGTGGATTTTAACCACACTCCTTTGGTATTGCAGCACAACTTCTTGTCACTAGGCCACCAGAGCCCCCTTAGACTTAACTATGTTTTAAGTGCCATCAATTTGGGCCCTGATTCATTGCAACCTCATATACAACAGAAAGAAATGTTGCCCAGTTTTGTGACATCCTCATAACTGGCTGCAGATTGGACCACTGTGATCCAAAGGGTTTTCAGTGAGTGATTTTCAGAAGTAGATCATCAGGAGTCTTAGTTTGGTAGCTCAGAGAAATAGAGTCTTCCACTGACTGCACATAAAGTCCTTTGTCAAGGAATTACCCTGAGCTCTTACATGTAAGGTAAGAATTCTACTACTGACCCACCAATGTTCTTAAGAGCCATAGCAAAAATTAATAAAGAACAGCAACAAAAATAATGTACCAAGACATTGCTTTTGTAGTTAGTACACAATAATACCAAAAACTTGAATCAGAAATATGATGTACGAATGGGAGGAGAAACACTTTCACTGAAAACAAGTAACAAAAGATAGAAGAATATGAAAACAAGTAATACAAGATAGAAGAATAAGCAGGACTAGTAATACGCAACAGAGAAATACAGATAATTTTTTATTAATTTTAATGAAAGTTTAGAGACTTTGGATTTCTATTCATTCATTGTTGCACTTTTCTTCCTGCCCAACCTCCCCTCCAGTTCGCTCTTCTCTTTGAAAAGTAAAATTGTCATTGTTATACAATCCCTCCCCACAACTCCACTCCACTATGCAGCCTTCATTCTCAACTCCTGTCATGACAATAATACATAATCATATATCTCTTTTAAACAGTTCTCTTCCTCATCTGCTTCAATGCAGTATACATAAATTATCCCATCTTTCTCAGTCTCTCCCCAACCCCAATGTCAGTTCCGTTTTACAACAGTGGCACTATGCAGTATTTGTTCTTTCATGACTGAGATAGTTCACTCAGCATAAGGTATACCAGGGTCACCCATTTTGAGTATTTCATGAGTTCTTTGTTTTCAATGCTGTGTAGTATTCCATGTGTGAATACACTGTAACTTCTCTATCCATTCATTTGTTGATGGGCACTTAGGTTATTTCCAACTCTTTGCTATGTGAGCAAAGAAAGCCACAATAAACATGGGGGTGCATATATCTGCTTGGGTGGAGGTTATGGTTTTTTTGGGGTATATTCCCAGTAGTGGAATTGCTGGGTCAAGTGATATTTCTATTTCCCACTTTCTGAGAAAGCACCATACTGCCTTTCATAGGGGTTGCACCATTTTACACTCTCGCCAACAGTGAATAAGGGTTCCAGTTTACCCACAACCTCACCAGCATTTGTTGTTTGCTGTTCTGTTAAATTTTGCTATTCTTACTGGGGTGAGATGATATCTCATACTTGTTTTGATTTGTATCTCTCTTAGAACTATGGATTTTGAACATTTCTTCATGTGCTTGTAGGCCATCTGAATGTCTTCTTTAGTGAAGTGTCTATTCATATCCTGTGTCCATTTTTCAACTGGGTTATTTACCTTTATCTTGTTGTGGTGTGGTGCTCAAGTATTTTATAAATTCCAGATATAAGTCCCTTATCAGACATGTCTTTACCAAAGGCTTTTTCCCATTCTGTGGCTTCCCTTTTTACCCTGTTGGAAAAGTATTTGGATGTGTATAGGGATTTGATTCTTAGAAGGTCCCATTCATCTATTTTCTCCTCTCCTGGTTACAGATTTTTCAGGATGCCTGGAAGACTGTTTATATTATGGATTAGGACTTCTAGAGTTCTGTCAAGCTTTTTTTAATGAAGTTCTTGGTTTTAGTCCTAGGTCCATAATCCACACTGAGTTGGTTTTTGTGTATAGAGTGAGGTGTGGATCTTGCTTGAGTTTTCTGTAGATAGTTTTCCAATTTTTCCAACACCAAGGCTGTCATTTCCCCAAAATAGAGATAATTTTTTTAAGCTAGGTCATAAAGGAGTTGACAGTTAAGGATGTTTAAACAAAATAGAACAAACCCTTGATAAGAGCAAGCATAGTTTAGTTATAGCAGAGTTCCACCGTAAACTGATGAAGGCGCTGATGAACTAGGGGCTTAGTAAGGAAAGTACTGAATATTAGGTTATGACCCATAGTTTTAGGTAAGTCTCTCATACAATAGCAAAAATTAAGAGCATAAAAAAGTTTTCTTTATTATCTACATGAAAAGATACTTGGGAGCTCTGATGTCCTAGTGGCAAGAAGCTGCACTGCAATCCCAGAGGTGCCTGGTTCAAATCCACCAGATGCTCTGCTGGAGGAGGGGCAATCTTCTGTACCAGTCAGATCCAATTTGACAGTACACACACACAAAACAGTATAATAGTGATAATAATAAAGTTAGAAAAGATACTTAAAGAGGATATAAGAGTTTTCTACCAAAATGTTATCTTAAAATTGTATTTTAAAAAATGCAAACTCGCTGCCATTGAGGCAATTCCAACTCATAACAAGGTTCTACCATGTTTCTGAGGCTGTGAATCTTTATCCTATGGAGCCATTGGTGGATTCGAACCACTGGAGACATATAACCTTTTAGTAGTAGGACTTCTATCTAGCACTAGCTTCAGTACTTAAATTGTTTTTTAAGTAATAAAGCAAGATATGCCCAAGAATTCTATTTAAGGAGAATTAAACCGATCAAAGTTTACACAGCATTATGAAAAATGCACTATCACTCTCTCTTTAGTCACATCTTCATATCAAATCTTTCAGAAGCATTCATTTAAATGGGTGATTATCAAAGGGAAGCTCCAGTTATAAAAATGAAATATACATCTGATTTTATAAGTTTATTGTGTTCCCACTATATGCAAGGCATTATGGAGACATAAGATCTCATTAGGATCCACTGATCTTCTAAGAAAGTTTAAGATGATCTGCACATCGCTGAAGCTAGATGCACAACTAGATGAACAAATGCCTCAAGTACTTTATACTTTACACTACTAGTACACTAGTAGGATTCACAATTTGAAGGAAAAATTTAGGCAACACTTCCTTCTTCAATTCTTCCCTCATTCCATTTCTGGAGGCAAGAGGTGAATACAGACATTGTACTCCCAATGCTCCCAGAAAGAAGTGGGAACAAATCTCTGTACATCAATTGAAATGATTGTGACTGTGAAGTTGCAGGGCATGCATTCCTCACACTAGGCTGGGCCCAGTCACTCGGTTACCCAGCAAGAGTTTGCAGATGTGGGCTGGAATCTACGACGGTTTCTCTGTGTCTAGTGCTATTGTTCCCCAAATACCAATATAAACTTGCCACAAGGCCCTTACAGAAACTAGCTGCTCTCACTTCATAATCTTATTCAAAACATGACAAAAGTAAAACTCTCTTCTGCCTTTCATGTTAAGCCAGGAACTCGAGATTTATTCCACTCAGAAATGGTACTTGTTATAGCTGGATTAGCATACTTTTAAATTTTTCATTAAAAAGCAGAACTTCCATTTCTAGGTATTCCAAGTGCCTGAATAAGTTTAAAATGTCATTATTTTCAAAATTGTTTTTGAAACTCCTCAGTAGATTGGGGTGGCAAAAGTAATAAAAGAATGAGCATTGGGCAAAGAAAAAACATTAAGACTGGAGTCTTAGCTCTTTCTTTAATAAGTAATGTAAGTTGAAAAAGTTAATAAGCTTTAGTTTTTTTACTTCTAAAATAAGACTGCTAATACATTTCTCATATATTATTACTGGACTATATGAGAAAATGTACATGATAGCAATCTCTAAACTACCATATTCCTAATGGAAATACCAGTATCAATTTATTATTGTTGTGTGCCATCAAATTAGAACAAACTCAGAGCTGACCCTCCAATGGGTTTGCAAAGGCTGTAAACTGCACATAAGATTTCCTATTTTTTTTTTTTTTTATTTTGTGTGCGTGTACCGTCAAATCAGATCCCGGCAGAGAGTCTGGTGGATTCGAACCGTGTTCCTCTGGGATTTCAGAGCAGCTTCTTGCCACTAGGCCACCAGAGCTCCCAAGATTTCCTATTTTTGTCTCACAGTGCAGCCGGTGGATTCTGACCTGTCTTGAGTTGACAGTGCAACTTCTTCATAGGGGCTACTGAGTTGAATATGACTATGATCCTGTGAACAACAGAGACACACCTGCCCTATCCTGTGCCATCCTCATCACCTCTGATATACTTGAGCCCACTGTCAGACTTTGTCAATCCATCTTGTTGAGTGAGGGTCTGTCTTCCTCTCTCCCAATGACCCTTCACCTTTCCAAGCATAATGTTTTTTTTGCAAAGACTGGTCCTTCCTAACAACATGCCCAAAATATAAGAGAAGAAGCTTCACCATCCTTGCCTCCAAGGAACACCCTGGTTGCACTTTCTCTAAGACATACTTGTTTGTTCTTTTGTTGATCCATTGGATATTCAGTACTCTTCTCCAACACCACAACTCAAAGGCATCGATTCTTCTGTCATCCTTAGTGTTCAACTTTCAGATGCATAACAAGTAATTGAAAAGACCATGGCCAACACAATACTTTAAAATTCCTATCACTTTTTAAAACTCTCATGGTGATTAAAATTATTAATTTGCTGGAAGAGATCTGATTTCTGGAAAAAATAAGTTATTCAAAGCCAAGTCTATGTAATCAAATTATATAATACCATTTTAGGTCTAAAACAAGATGTGACAAAATATAATGAGTTTCTCTTATATGACCTCTAAATGTAATCTGACAATATTCCAAAAAGTTTCATAATGTCTGGGGTAAGAGCAATATCACTTTAGAGGACAGGATGAAAATTATTCATTTACAAATAAATTCTGACTACAGTTCTTGCCATCCAACCCGTTTTCAAGCTACAACCTTAGTTATCTTCCCCCTCCTCCTTTCACCTCACATATTTAAGTACCGCATCATCTAATCCTATCAATTCTACCTAGAAAACGTCACATCAGTCCATATCTTTTTCATTTCTCCCTAGGAGTGTAATAGGAACTCTTGAATTCATTTCCCTAACACCAATCTCTCCCCATCATTCATTATCACCAGAGGTAGCATACTGAAAAACAAAGCTTTCAACACTCTTCTGCCTAAAAATCTGGTAATGTTCCCCACTGCTTATGGGATAAAGACCAAACTGTGAGCAAACAAGGTTCTTCTCAACATGGACCTAGTCCAACTTTTCAATTATTCTAAAATTCCACCTGGTTGGTCCCTTATACTTCTCCCACACTGACTGTTCATATTATGTAGACAGAGCAAACGTTCTTATGACTACATGCCTTTTAAAGTCTTGGATGATAATTTCACCCATTTCCTTAGTCTTCCTTGCTGCAACCACCTCGTTTATACCACTTGTGCGTACCTCTCTATCAACATTTATAGTGTTGCTTAATAATTAATCTGTTTCTCCTCTGTTAGACTTTGAGCTCCTAAAGGGTATAGAAGTGGAACATTTTATAACAAAAGCACCTAAAATATCTGGGATAGAAAACAGGCTTTAAAAAAGTTTTATGAATGAGTAGCCTTGGTCATTTACTTTTCTAATACTGTTATATACCTCCCAGTGGGAACTGATTCATAGCTAACCTGCCAGTGGGTTTTCAGAGGCAGTAAACTGCTTGGGAACAGACTGTTCATCTTTCTCTAGAATAGCAGCTGGTGGTTCAAACAGCACAACTTTGGGTTAGAGAAACTCCTCACCACTAAGCCACCACAGCTCCATCCTATAACATTGCTGTTGCATACTGTTGGGCCAGAATCAACTCATAGCTCACCCTACTGTGGGTTTTCAGAGGAAGTTAATTGCAAAGGAGGAGACTGCTCATCTACCATGGAGTAGCTGGTGGAGTATACAAAACATAGAGTACTAGTACTCTTATGACTATTAAGATTTAATTAATATTAAAAATATTGGGACCAAATATTATTTTCAACTCACAAATGAGGAAAACACAGCACAGAACCAATGGTCTTGATTTGTCTTAAATAAATGTAGTGCTACTAGAACTCAAAAGATCATTGTCAAGGAGTCAGAATTTACTCACAGCTGACTCTGCAGTGGCTTTTCTGAAGCTACAAACTGCATGGGAGAAGAAGGTCAAACATTTTCTTGAACAGCCATTGATAGTAGCTTCAAACCACCAGAGAAGTCTCACCGTTGGCATAGCACTTTAACTAACTCTACACCACCAGACTGTATCACCAGAGCTTCTTCCAGTTCTGGGCCTGCTCCTTGGAACTCTCTGGAATTGCTCATTGGTGGGAGAGTGGTGAGCATAACTGCCTTCCAAGCAGTTGACTCATGTTCGATTTCAGGACAATGCAGTGACTGGCTAGAACTAGAATCCAGCTATCAGGATGTCTTAGAAGGTATATTTCTCTGAGGTTGATCAGTATATTCAAAATAGTTCTGAATCTCTCTAGTGAATGAAATTAGAATGGGCATTCCTATACATTTCTCCTTTTAAAAAAACAGACAAAAACCTTACAGAACATAATGCTTTAGATCCCAGCGACTAGTAAAAAGTGTATTTCATGAGTTCTTGATGCTGACAACTCTACATAATTCTAAATTATACTTTCTAGATATACCCACTAACACTTGACTTCTAATCACTAATCCTGAAACTTTTATAATGAAATATTTGGAAAGAGTATGGTCATTTCAAGATAAATTTTAAATGCACCAAAGGTCCCTGAGACCTACCAAAACATGATTAAAGAATTGTCTAAGTTTTCAGTTACAGTCAAATTATCTGGAATAAAGGAGGCAGCTCTGGCATGGTTGATCTTGGCATACTTTCAGGGGAAAGAATAAATGAAAATGAAAAAGGTAGCAAGAAAATGAGTTAAGAGAACTCATTTCCACGATTCTTGAGACCATAGTTTCAGAGGACATCAAAGCCACTTGGCAAAAGTTGGTTCACAAAGCCAACATTTTACATCCTACTTCGGGGAATAGTGACTGGGGTCTAAAAGGCTGTGAGCAGCCACTTGTAACTACTAGGTTTTGCTTTTATTTTTTAAAAAATCAAATATGTAAAGAAATATTTGGTACAAAGGACAAATGGAATCCCAGCCTTCACAATGTTGAGACCAGAAGAACTAAGGATGCCTGACAAACATTGCCAGCAGCTCTAAACGAAATGGTAACAGGAGGTTATGGACACAGTGGGAGAAAAATGTGGGACAAATTTAAAAAAAGGGAAAAAAAAGGCCAGGTTTACTGCTCTGAGAGAGACTTCTTGAACTCCCAGACTTTGGTCCCGAGAAACTTATCAAGCCTGGAATTGAACCTATCCCCTGGCTCCACTCTCAACTAAATAAAAGATAGGCCTATAAGGTAAAAAATAATACAAAGTACATAGCCTTAGTACAATCAATTACACAAGACCAAAAGGGCATCTTGTGCCCAAGGATAAAGCTCACAGGGCAGAAAGGGGTAGGAAATGAGTAATGAGAAACGGTAAGCAGGGAGAAAGCAGGAAGAATGCCATTACATTGGGAAGACTGCCTTCAATGTCACCGTTACAAAATGAAATATGTATCAACTGTTGAACTGAAAACCAATTTGCCCTGTAAATTTCCACTCAAATCACAATAGAAAGCTTCTTGTTTGAGATTTTTATTCCTGATCTCTACTCCAAAAGGAATCATTTTGTCAAAAACTAAACAAAGTCACTCCATTTTTATAATGGTGACCTACTGGCCTAGTGGTAAGAAGCTGCCTGCAATCCTTAACGGATGGGGTTAAAAACTACCAGCTGCTTTTTGGGAGAAGGATGGGCAACCATCTGTCTTGGCAGCTCTGAGTCGGTTCCAACCTGACAGCACACAACAGCAGCATAATGCAAAGAGAAATGAGAACACATCTGAGAAGTGAAATCTCAACAGCATTAATGCTAACCCTGCATAGCAAATAGCTTCTAAAAATAGAGCTGGCACGTTAACTGTTGGGGTTTTTACCAGAAGTATCTAAAGTTGCTACAGCTGGAAAGACTCCAAATGAGGCCTGTGGAAAGTTCAGAATGAAACTGGGGCAACCACATCTCTAAAACAAAATAATTTTTAAAATCCCCAAACAATAACAACAAAAACCCTACCCAAACTAAAAATTCATTCCTTAGGCTGCTGCAGGGCTGCCAAGAGGTCTGCTCCAGATGCTATTTCTATTCCCTGGTTCCACAGTGGTCCCGACCCATTAGGAACCCGGGAGGCCCTCGCGGGCAGCAGTATCTAGTATTTGAAGGCGTTGGAGTCAAAGGTAAAGTCCACCAGCATTTGCCTTCCCCGAGCCCATCCTTAAGTACGCTCTCCAAACAGTGGGACCCACGGTCCGATGATCTCGAAGCAAAGCTATTTACTCTCGCGGGACTCTGGTTCTGAATGGGGCCAGGGAGCAACTTGGGGAAGAAATAGCCGAAGTGTAAAGTATAAGCGGAAAACTCTCTGGATCGGAGAAATACGAACTAACGGTCCAGTGACCCTCCACCGGCACACAGAAACGGCTGGGGAAGTAACCTTGGGGTTCCGGAGTGCGGAGCGCGTGGCCGCACGCCCCTGCGTCCTTTCCCTGCCTCGTCATAAGCTAAACCGCTGTCACTAGGCGTGAAGGATTAGTTCAGATCGCCCGAGGTTCTGCAGGGACCTACTCCCAGGCCCAAAGTAAAGTCACCTCAGCAGAAGAGCAGCCATCTTGGAATCCGGGGTGGACGGAAATGACGCCCCGCCCCGCCCCCAGGAGGTGATAAAGGAGGAGGAGCGTCTGTCATGTGGCCATTTAAAGGGCTCGCGACCGAGTTCTACTCCAGCTCTGAAGGTTTGCTGTTTGACTCCTTTTCGGGTGGCTGCACCCGCTTTATTCAGTAGCCTGCTATTAGAAATTTGCCACGGTTTTGGCAGAATCGCCGCTTGCTCGAAACTTGCACTCTTTATTTCATCTGTGTAGGTATTCATTTTGTTATCACACGGAAAAGTTGACTTTTGCCCAGATGTTTCACCAAGGCTTTCTCAGTTTGTTTCCTGTCCAAATTAGCATTAAAACTTCTTGGTAAAGGTTGACTGAGATACCAGGGAAAAGATAAATTGGACTCTTCCTCTTCTAATATGAAGCTTCACTTATATCTTTATACACAAGTTGAGACCCAAATTGAGGTGTGAGGAGCGACTGAGAAAGAGAGAGGCCACCATTCTCAAGCACAAGGAGCCTAAATAACCTCAATTAGCTTTATGCCGCGCAATGCTTGAGAAGCTGCAGGAGCTAGACGCCCACCAACCAAAGACAGCATTCTCTTGTTCCTTGTTTCAGCACAATGTAGGCGACACCCACAGCCTGAAGAACCTGAGGTGAAGGGGTAGAACCAATAAATATGGGATTTGAGGATCCCAAACCCAAGAATCAATTGCAGGGCACTTTAGCCTGAAGAGAAGAAAAGTGCAAGTGAAAAAGAAACATAACAATGCAAAAAAGTTTTCACTCTTTTCTTGGGGATGACAGTCGGGTAGTCCAGAAAAACAACTACTCTACAATCAGACATATTCAATTATATATCACTTGATTCAGGTCTTATATTTAACACTCATACACTTTTCCTTTCAAGACTTCAATTATACAAATTCATTTATTTCTCCATCAGATACGTCAAAGAAATAATTTTCACAGGCTTTCAAACTGAAAGACACCTTAGAGACTCTCCAATCCAATCTTCTATTCAGTGTGGGGATCTCTTCTCCCGGCAACGTCTCCACAGCTGACTTTCACACCGCTGCTCTAACACTGTCAACGGCAAGTGCTTCAGAAAAACAAGATATATTTCATGAATAGACTAATTATTAGGAAGTCATTTTATCAAATTACAATGTTCTGTTATAGAACTTTTCATCATGGATCGTAATTTGGCTTTCTGGGGCTTCACTTTAACAAATGAAGTGAATGCCTCATTAGAAAAGTGACGAAGGTGATAGAAAGATGCAGTGTTTTAATCTCTAGAAGCTTATGGCAGGAGCAGTACCTAAAGAAATAAATACAGCAAAGAAAGTGGAAATCCTGTGAAAGGAGTATATGTAAAAAAGGGGGAGGGGATAAAGTGACACTTAAAGCTGCTGTGAAGTTGAGTGAGAATCAATGTCTAGACCCCAAATATTGACTAAAACATCCTGTAAATATTTGCTGGTAGAGATGATTTTGTTTTATGATCAAATCCCATGTTTTGAGTGCAGCTTTGTCTCTCTTTGAACATGTTGTCAGGAGAAGCCAGTCCCTAGAAACGGACGTCATGCTTGGAAAAGTCAGAGAAGGGAAAGAATATGCTCAAAGAGATAGACTGACACAGTGATTGCTACAATGAGCTTGAACATTAGTGTGATTGTGAGGATGGTGCAGGATGGGGTAATGTTTAGATGTCTTGTTCATAGGGTTGCTATATGTTAAAGTGAACTCAATGGCACCCAATAACCTAGATCTAATACTTACCACCAAATTCACAAGGACAGTGATCTAGAGAGATGCCAGGAAAGACTCCAAGGGTGATCCAGCAATGGTCCGACAGCAAGACCAACAACAGCCTCTCCTCTTACATTAACCTCTAAAGACTATAATTGAGAAAAATGGAACACATTCAGGCCAAACATAAAGTCAGGATTCTTCTCATCAGGGTGTATTTCAAAAGCAAAACAAAGAGAAGCAGGATCTCAAAACTTTCATTGCTGTCGGAGTAGGAGCCAATTCATAGCAACTCTCTGACTCTCCACTGGGACTCTCACAACAGGAGATTACACAGCTTTCTCTCTTGGTGCTTCTGGTGAATTAGGAGGAAAAGCTAAGGCCTGTAACAAAGGAATGGGAAGGGAGAAGAGAGAGCAAGTCCAGATGGAAGCACAGGGAGAAGGGAGACCAATTCCAGATAGAACTTCCTGGCTCAATAAAGAGTAAAATCATTGCAGGTAATTCCAAAGGAGAAAAACAAGATCAACACTCAGGAGACTTTGAGATAAAAGACTTTTCTGGTCAGATTTCCCCTAAAATTTAGTTATAATAATATAGACACTGCCACTTTTATTCCTATTCTAAAATCTTCAGGAAATTTTTTTGATGTACCAAATTAAACCCACTCTGTTAATATGTTTTTTAAGTTGCTTCACAAACTAGTTCAAATTTTCCTGTCCCGACTTGCTTTCCTCTATGGCCCTTCAAGTATCTCCAAATCAAGTAAAAAGGGATGATACAAATTTGGCATAGATTACACACACACACATACACATGCACACATACTTTACCACCTCTTTGCCCTTACTTCTGCTGTTCCATCTATTTGATATCTTTCGTACCCATTCCATCTTTTCAAAATGGCACTAATCCTTCCATGTTGGTCCATATATACCTCCTAAGATAATTACCCCTTCCTCTGAACTTCATTTATTTAAGGAAATGTATTTTGTTTTTATTGCCTCTTTTGTAACTTACATTCAACATTCCTGATATTGCAGCTGTGCACTTGCCTTTGCACTCCCAACAATTTTGCACTCCCAAGCATCTTATTTATGGTAGTAAATATTGGTATTATCCTCTGATCTCCCCCTTTTTTCACTTCCCGAACTTTTAACTCCTTAAGTTAGAATCTTCATTTTCTTTCCTCTTGCTGTTATCGCATCCTCATAACTTATGTATAACTGACATCAATACAATTTTGTGACTATATGGATATATAAGTTGAAATTGGCTTAATCTGTAACATTAGGTGCTGAATAACTTCATAACCAATATGAGAATGTCAAGGATTTCATCCCTGGAGACTTGCGAATGGAGAAGTTTCTATCTCAGACATATCACCCACGATTTGGGGAGATGAAAAAAATATTCTCAAAGGACCTTGGCACCTCCAAAAATCTATGATACAGCTTGTGATATTTAGGGTTTACAGTGCTGGAAGGAAATTTGCCTTTAGCTTCTAGGATTATAGGAAAGCCTAAGGGTGTGAATCCTTTTTCATGGTCTTGGGATTCAGATTTCCTTGCCCATCTATCCCTCAGAGAAATGTGTCTGTGTCCCTTTTTCTGTCCTTTTCACTTACCACCCCCCCAACATTCCAGCCTGGGGCGGGGGGAGGCCAGTGGACACAAAGCTCTCTGTGTATAAGGTGGTATGTGTCCCCCCACCCCTCCACCCAGAGCACACAATGTGCCTTCTGCCCCCCTTTCCACCACCTTTCAATTGTACATGCCAGGCTGCAATTGGTTACTGACTCAAGACAGCCCCCTCATCCCCAGGCCCCAGGGGATTTTAAGCGAGTTCCAGGAACCCCCGCTCAGTTCCTGGTCCCCCACTCTCCCAACCCCTCAGATGCTCTGGGCCCTAACCCCTGCCCCAGCCATGGCTCCAGGGGCTCCCTCGTCCAGCCCCAGCCTTATCTTGGCTGTGCTACTCTTCTCCTCTTTGGGTAAGTGGAGTCACCCTAGGTAGAGAAACTCAGGTGGTTTCTCTGCAACTTTCCCACTTTAATTCAAGGTCTCTATCTAGCTGCCTTCACTTCTCAGCTTACTGAAAAAAAGAAAAAAAAACAAACAAGCAAGAGCAGGAGAGAGCATATTTAGAAAGGGTGGGGGTAATATGGTTTGAAGTAAGACAGTAAAGTTCTTCTGTGATAATAGATGCTAAAAGAAAGTGATTATAGAGAACTTTCCTGACATAAGCTGGGCTGGGCCCAGGTTGAGGATAAGTAAAGTGCCCTCAAATCCATGATGAGAGCCTAGAATGATGTAGTTCTAAGACTGGAAAGAAATAGGATCAGACACCTGGATTCTGGTCTCCACTCATCTCCTAACAATGCAGGAGTTACCTGACCTTCTTTTCTTCCCAGAAAAGAAATGTGGAAAAGTGTTATTTAAGACAGGGAACATAAAGTTTGTGGTCTCTTGGATCCTATGTTCCTATGTCTCTTGGTGCCTGAGTTTCTCTCTGTGGGTCCATCTATTATGTGGATGAATGGAATAAAAATGAACTCTGGGTGTCCTATAGTTAGAGCAGTTAGCCACTAAGTAAAAAGCAGACATGGGGGAAAAAGGTGTGATAGTCTGCTTTTGTAAAAATACATAAACTTGGAAACACTATCGTGCAGTTCTGCTCTGTTTACTGGCTCCCTAGGAGTTGAAATTGACTGGATAGCAGTGGGTTGGGCTTGTTCATGGATACATTTGTTTGTTTGATTCCTCTAAAACTGTCTTGTTTTATATATTGACCAGCTGCTTTTTAGACTGTGGTAGATGTTGAGTAAACAAGAGAAGGTCAAAGCAAGGTTATTTGAATAGATCCTCCCCTTCTCTGACACAATGGATGAGCAGTCAGCAAGTTGGGGTTGGCATGAGGCAAACTTACTGAAAGTTCAAGGTCCTCTGCTATCAGTTCTTTGTGCCTAAACCTAGAACCTAAACTCTTCCAGATTGTTCTTAGCATCCTGAGAAAATGTCATGGATAGGGAAATGGAAAAGGGCATGGTGAGGGGAAAGAGGAGTTCCAGGACAGTGTCATCCTAGCACCTGCCCCATTTCTAGAATCATTGAGAAGAGCTGAAAAGGGCAATGCTTGAAATTATAAGTGTTGTTATCGTTGTGTTGTTGTTATGTGTCATTGAGTCAGAACCAACGCTTAGCTCTCAGTGGGTTTTCAGAAGCTACAAATTGTACAAGAGCAGTTTGCTCATCTTTCTTATGTGGAACAACTAGTAGATTTGAACTGTCTGCCTTTGGGTTGGCAGTCTAATTGCTTACCACTAAGCCACCAGAACCCCCTGATATAATAGGAGGAACATAAACAAGACTCAAGAAAGAACTTCTTTCATTTTATTTAGGATTTTCAGAAAGACTTTATGGCAGGTGATCCAGGAAATGATCAGTGATGTGGTTTACTGAGGTATATAGATATATAGAAGCAGATGGTGTGAGCTCCAACATTTGTCAGACAATGGGGCTCTGTTTAATCAGGTCTCCCCACCCCTCTCCTATAAAACAAAAGGGTCTACAGTCATCTCCACCCAGAGGCCAACCCACACACATAGTCTCCCTGAAATAGCCTTCTCTGTGGGTGGGTCTTGGGAGTGGCATTAGGCCAGAAGTGCTGAAGAGGGTGAGGAGGATCACACTACAAAGGGCATACATGCAAAGTCATCTGAATTCTGGGCTTGTGGCCTTGCCCTGTACCATAGGTGTGGAGGTGTGGGTCTTTCCCTCCCCAACCCCAGTCAAGAGGAGGCTGTATAGCGACTGGGATTTAGCAGTGAAAGAGAGCTGTCTCACAGAAGAAGACATTCGCCAATTATCTTTTTAGTTTTCCCTATGTGAAACTTTAATTTATCATACTGTGAATTACTATGGAGTTGTTTAAAATAAGATTTCTCTGCATGAATAAATATGAAAAATATTCTTAGATTCGTATATTCTTAAGTAGAGAAAAATATGTAATGCATAATACAATGTATGTAAAGAAAATCTCAAAGAGCAAAACATTTCTTTTCATTTGTATTGAGTTTAATCCTTAGGAAAAGGATACACTAAATCAATAGCTGGTTATATCTGTGAGAGAATTTGAAATTTGTTTGGGGGGGAAATCATAGTGGAACTTCAATTTTATCTTCATTTTATTGCTTGATTAGTTTATGAGATGAATGTAGTGTGTCTATTTATAGTGTGTCTATTTAACAACAAAGAAAAAGAAATTTTAAAATTAATGCCTAAGGGAAAGCTTTAATAGATGCTAACTCAAAGCAAACGTTAAACTTGGAAATAGAATCCAACCTGTGGAAGTTCTGAAGAGAATACTCTTGTTGCTGATTTCATTTCTCCACAGAGCATGCTGAAAACTTGGTCTGACACAGATTCAGCTCATCTGTTCAGTTAAACCCTCCTCCATTTAAGTGGATCCAGAGAGTCAAAAAATATTTAGACCTCGGATAGTAGTGTCTCTAGAGATGTCAGGGGCTGCAGATGGAACCCCTGATTCTGTTAGGGGAGGTGACGTAAAAATCACTCTAGGACAGCAGGCTGACCTAGTCGCTTGCCAGGCAGGGTAAGGGTGAGCCAGGGCGCCTTTCACAGCGCAGAGTACAAAGGGGAGGAGCTGCCCTGAGCTGAGGTGGGGCCAGCATGCTCTGGTCCCACTATGGTGGAGGTATGGGCCGGTTTTCCCTGATCAGCCGGGTCCACCAGGGAGTCACACCATGATTTCCTGCACTGGGTGATGCAACCTTAGAGATGCCACTGGTCTTAGAATTGATCGTTTCTGCCCCCCACGTGTGTTATGACCGTAACTTTCTTTTTCTTCCTCTACACCCCTCATTGGCTAGTACGTGTATCTGATCTCTGCTCTGTGCTTGCAGTGCTGTCCCCCGCCCAGGCCATTGTGGTTTACACGGATAGGGAGGTCCACGGTGCTGTGGGCTCCCGGGTGACCCTGCATTGCTCCTTCTGGTCCAGCGAGTGGGTCTCAGATGATATCTCCTTTACCTGGCGCTACCAGCCTGAAGGGGGCCGCGATGCCATCTCGGTGAGCACCAGGGGGAATCCTGAGGCCAGACAACTGATAAGAAAGCAGGGAGAGATGCTTCAAAGAGCAACAGAAAAGAGAAATTGGGTTGGGACGGGGAATCCTTTTGAGACATAGCCTCAACTTTAGCAAAGATAGCAGCAGTCCTTGTCATCTTGGCCATTCCTCAGGTGACACTCCTCAGTCACCTTCTCCCTCTAAGATTCCTCACCCTAAGGCCAGAGCTAAGCTTTGACAGCCCTGTTCTCCGTGCTCTCACCTGCTTCCCCTCATTCCTCAGATCTTCCACTATGCCAAGGGACAACCCTACATCGACGAGGTGGGGGCCTTCAAAGAGCGCATCCAGTGGGTAGGGGACCCTCGATGGAAGGATGGTTCCATTGTCATACACAACTTGGACTATAGCGACAACGGCACTTTCACTTGTGACGTCAAAAACCCTCCGGACATAGTGGGCAAGACCTCCCAGGTCACCCTCTACGTCTTCGAAAAAGGTGTGAGAGGAAATGGGGTATGGGAGTCAGGGAGGCATACCAAACAGTCTCAGGACTGGAGCTGACAGGATCAAAAAGAGGGCAAATTGTTTGGCTTTGTGTTCTTTACATTTTGGAGGGATAGGTGGAGCCCAACACTTTCAACCGCAGGAAATAGGTGTTGGGTCTGGGAATTAAAAATGCAGGCCCCATTCATTCCATTTTCTTCTTTTCCATCCTCTCTCAGTGCCAACTAGGTACGGGGTGGTGCTGGGAGCTGTGATCGGGGGTATCCTGGGGGTGGTGCTGTTGTTGCTGCTGCTCTTCTACCTGGTGCGGTATTGCTGGCTACGCAGACAGGCAGCCCTGCAGAGGAGGCTCAGGTAAGGGGCGGAATATGACTTCCCAACCTCTAGTGGGCCATCTACTCCAGGGGATGGCAGGGCCAACAGGAGAAGAAGAAACGACTCCCTCTGCGACGGCCTCGGTCTTTGGTGGGACCAAAGCTCTAACGATGTCTTTTCCTGCAGTGCCATGGAGAAGGGGAAATTGCACAAGTCTGCAAAGGACTCGTCTAAGCGCGGCCGGCAGGTTAGCGGGACGTGGGGCCTGGCCAAGCCGGGATGAACCCTGGCAGCCTCTGGGCAGCTGCGAAGGGGTGGAGTGGGAAGGGTTACGCCCTCCTGAGCAGTGATTGACGTGTGCGTACCTCCTCCCGCGTTCCTAGACGCCAGTGCTGTATGCCATGCTGGACCACAGCAGGAGCACCAAAGCTGCCAGTGAGAAGAAGTCCAAGGGGCTGGGGGAGTCTCGCAAGGATAAGAAATAGCGGTTAGCGGGCCGGGCGGGGGGTCGGGGGACAGGGGCAGAGCCTTCCAAAAGCTCTCAAAAGGTGGTTGTCATCGAGATGGAGCTACAGAAGGATGAGCAGAGCTCTGAGCTCCGCCCTGCTATCAAGTCCCCCAGCAAAACCAGCCTCAAGAACGCCCTCAAGAACATGATGGGCCTGGACTCGGACAAGTGATCACCACCCCCCAGCCCCAGGCCCTGCCAGAGACGGGGACCTAGGCTCCTCTTGTATTCCCCCCACCACGTACCCCGGTCTAGGTGCTTTTCCTCCCTTGCACCCCAGCCTTGTTCTCCTTTGCCCTTCCTTTGAGATGTAAGTTTCATTCCGAAAATTATTCCCCAATCACTTCATATTCTCCTCCATGTTCAACCCCTGGCCCTGGGAGCTGGAAGCCTGATCCTAACCGCCTACCCCAAACCCAAGGACTGTGTGTTTGGTGCCTGTTTCTTGGGCACTGAGAAGAAAGGGACCTTGATTATTATTCCCTCCCCCCTC